AGTGAGAAGGCTGGACGTAGCTGAGAGCAGTGGGTAAAGACCAGCCAGCCGGGAGCTGAAATGAGGGAGGCATGGGTTTGCCTTGAGTCCAGAGCCACTTCTGCTGGTGCAGGTCTGCTGCTTGCTTTTTTTTTTTCTCTCTTTTGTTTTCCCAGGCTAAACTGCGTTTTTAAACTTCCATCACTATGAATTGAGACATTCTGATACATTCCTTAGGGCCCAAACAGTTTGACTTCAGCTGCCGTTATATGGCATGCTCAGATGCCTCTGTGTACAGAGACGTGACGGTCCCGTCCTTCCACTGGACCACCACTTCTCCGGATCGCTGATCCTGGGGCACCAGCTCCTGCTTTTGCGGTTCGGCCGGGCTGTATTCCTGCACAGGCATCAGGGCTTGCTTGGCTTCCAGCTCAGCCTGCTGGGTGGTTTGCACTCCTTCTCTGTACATGTGGATCTTCCTTTGCCTGCAGGGAAGGCATAAAAAGGAAATGCGGAGTGAAACTGTGAGTCCAGCCTACATCTGGGGGCAGGTGTCTACCCCTTGGCGATAGTTACATCCATCTTTCACACCTTGGCCTAGGGAACACATGAGCAAAGGCAAATCCCACCAGCTGCACTGTGTCCTGTAAGTGGTCTGAAGTGTTTGAATACGCGCAGCCATGGGGTTTACATTTGGAGAACATCGCCCAAAGCGAGGCAGTAACACCCAGCAAGCCATCGTTGAAATGAAAGCATAGCAGACTTGTAACATTAGCTCTTTTTCTCTCATTTTACGATAAAATCTCTGACCCAGATGCAAGTTTTGTTGCTGTAGGAGACAGCAACCCTCAGCTGCAGGGTTTTTGTGCAGCGGTATGGCCCAGGGGAACATCGTGGGAATGCAGACAGGGAAAGGCTGGGGACTTCTGCTCTAGAGTCCCTATACACCCCTGTACTTACAGGAAAGCACCTCACACTACACACATGTAATGTCACTTTCCTCCCAACAGACCTGTTGGGCTGGGCAGAGCTGTTGCAGAGGCTTTCCCAGTGAATATCCAGGGCCCAGAGAAGTGAAGTGGCTCGTTACAAGTGACAGAGGAGGACAGCAGGGAGTCAGGCAAGGTTTTATGATGAAGCATGGTTCAAAGGGAGTTTTTCTTTGCTCTTCTCCCCATCACTCAGGGCTTGTTCTTGCCTGAGATGTTCTTCAGCATGCTGCCCTGCCCTGCCCAACTGCCTGGGGGCGGGTCTCAGCACACCACCACTCACCAAAAGACCCCCAAATTTTCCTGACTCACCTGTTTCGCACAACGTTAATGGCCAGGAGGAGAAGACCCAAAATCATGGACACAAAGGAAAGTGCAAGGATGGAGTAATTCCACGTTGATGCTGGGGAAAAGCATGGAGAGGCAGCGTTAGCATGCACAGAGCAGTGTGGCCTGCAGAGCCCAGCCAACTTGTTTCCTGAGGATACCCAAGCTCAGAGTGCCATGGCTTGGCTGCAGGATGAGGGTAGAGGTGCTGGTGTCCAGCTCAGCACCCAGAGCAGAGTACCTAGGTCACATTTTTGGACAAAATAACTGAGGCAACGTTCCCTCCCTGGGCAGGAGACTTACACAACTGCTTTCTGCCACTCACAGCCCCTGGCCTTGGGCTCTGTATCTCTCATGCTGGCCACATCTGCCACACATGGCTTTTCAACTTTGCCCGAGAGCTGTGCCCAAGGGCGGGAGCAAGGCTGAGTGCTGCAGCATCCCACCATGAGCGCTGCTAGAAGACTCCCTCCGCTCTGCAGCCTTTCTTACCACTGCTACACTCAGGGCAGGTAGATTTTGCCTTGGAACACCGGCTGGGGTGTGCGGCACAGATGGTAGCAGATGCGCCATCCTTCATTTGTGTGGCTTTGAAGGTGATCCTTGGGGCGCTGCTCATATCGATGTGCTCCCTCCACCCTGCCAAAATCACTGGTCATCCCAGACCTTTGCTCTCCTGGCAGGCTATGACTGGAAAGAGGCTGAACCCCTCTCTGGGCGGAGACACTATCTCAGCAAAGTCTCATGCCTGTCTTCACCCATGGCCTGCTGCTTGTAGAGGTGAGACTGCGCGTTTATATATCTGGGGTAAATCACCTCCTCAGGTAATTCCCTCGAGCATCTCCATTAGGCAGGAGGGTTAACAGCCAAGGAGCGTGTACCTCTATTTCAGTGCTCAACCCAGGAAGGTCAATGGGACTTACGGTCTTCTCTGCGGAAGAACCAGAGCAGCTCCTCCAGCTCTTCTTGATCTATACCCAGCGCAAGGGTCACGTTGCCTGCCGTGTGGTCATACATGCGTGTGCTAGCAAGGGCTGCAGGGAAGTACCTGTCTTGCTCTGCCTCAGCTGTGGAGGAAAAGAGCAGAAAGATGCAATGGTTGCTCACTGCAATACTTCAGGCTAGAAATGGCCTTCCCCTTGGGTCCCAGGGTGGTCCAGCACATCTCTCCAAGCAGGCAGAACGTAGTCGTGAGGGCACAGCCTTATCTCACGCACCAAGAAGTAGAGAGTGTTTCTGGCTCACCCTTCAGATCCCATTATGATGGGGCACCCAGGGTTGGAAAGACCCCAGGACGCCGACTGTGCCCTTCCACATTCCCCAGCGGCACGTGTGTGTGTACCACTGGTCCCTGGGTATGCGGCACTTACCTGCTTTCTCCTCGCACACGCTCTTGTCTGCAGCATCTTGCCACTGGGCCCTGAGGCCTCTCACATTATTGAGAGCGACTCCTTTCCTGTTTGCCACCAGGAAGCCCTGGCTGCTGCCCAGAGGAGAGAGCACCGATTTCAAGCAGTCCCAGCTTGTGTAGTCCACGCTGCCGCAGAGACTTGTTTGCACTCTGTTGGCCCCAACCACGGAGAGGCAGCTCTGCGTACCGTGATTCATCAAAGAATCACCTTGCCAAGACCAGTCCTGGAAATCTGACTCTGGATTACAGTCCTCCAGCAATAAATTCCCATTCATCGGGCTGGCTTGTAAACACAGCTTGACTTTAGCATTTTTCATCAAAAAAGCTTCAGTGTCTGCAAAGAAACCAGCATGTAAGTGTGGCCATCCCCTGAGCACTGGACATAGACGCACACACAGTGTATAAGGCAGATGGGAATGAAGCCCAATTCATGAACTGGGAAATCAGTGTAGGGCAAAAGGCATTCAAGAGGCAAACTGCCTCCCGTCCAGCTTCTCTCTGCCAGGGCTGCTGGGCTTGTAGCCGAGCTTTCCCTAACCCACGTTTCTCAGCAAACAAGGCTCAAGCACATCCTTTTGGGTGTGTTCTGGGAAGGCCAGCTAAACTGTCCTTGTGACTGGTGCTGAGCTCTGTTTGAAGCTGTATCTGTAGCTGTATCCCAGAGAGGAGATGACAGTAAGCTCCCCTCCTAGACCTGAGCTCTGCTGGGCCCCTTGGTGGCCTGGCGGGTGCCAGCCCACAGCGCTGTGCAGCCTGGCCTGCACTTAGCCCCTTCCTGCTGTTCCTGGGAGGTGGTAGGCTGCTCTCCTGAGTTGTTCCAAGAGGCAGTGGCCACTCAGACCCTTTGGTGAGCTGCATTGCTGGCTTCTGCTTTCCCTCTTTGGACAGACACCCTGATGTCCTGCTCCAGCTGGATGAACTAGGAACTACCTCCAATGTCTCTGTTTCTGGGGAACCAGAAGAGGGTTTGGAGCTCAGGCCTTTCCGGTTTGGCTAACCTTAATGTGTCAGCTGAAACGTCCCTCTGCACAGTGGAAGTCCCAACAGACACTGATATTGGATTTAAAAAAAATCAGATCTCTGTAAGTAAGTCAGGTGTCTTCCTTGGTGTCAAAGAGACTGCAACAGTGCTGTAAACACGGGCTTAAGGTGCAACTTTCCCCATGGTTGAGCCAGACTGCTGCTGGTGTATAATGAGGAAAATGGGCCCATAGAGAAGAAGAAACTATATTTCCAGAAAGTTAAGGTCTTTAGTGCACGCCTTTGCCATAATACTATCTGTATGTGTTTGCCCTCAGCCAGTGAGGCATTCATAAGGTCGTACAACAATGCTGGAAACTCTTGCACATGTACATCCAGCTCTCACGAACCTGCCCTGCAATGTCTTGTTGTGACCCTTGCTGAGCCTGGTGTGGGTGAGAGCCTGTGAACAGGCACAACCTCAGCATGTGTGACCTACTTCACCCACACCATTATCCTCTAAGCCAAGACTCTACCTTGCAGCAGGAAAAATGGGATTAGCCAGAAGAACTTCATATTTGTATGTGCAGCTGGGATGGATCACACCTTCACCAGTGTTTCTTCGGTGCGCAGACGCCTGGGAAAGACAGACGAGAGGTGAGGGATAACCTCGAAGTGTCTTCTGCTAGCTCCCACAGTACAGTGCCACCAGCTTTATCAGTGGGAGCCCTGAAAGTTACACGAGTTATAACTCAGAGGGACTGGAGACAGCAGGCCAGCATGTTTCTCCTCTGGTGTCTACAGTAGATGAATGGAGACAAAAGCACAGTCATAATCTTTTAAATTACTCTGTGCCCATGCTGATGCACCTCCCTGCTCCAGCTCTGTGTTCAGAGAGGAGATCTGATGTACCCCTGCAGCTGTGGCACTGCTTGCTTCTGCGGACACGAGTCTGAGCTGCCAGGACAGGGTGCAGACAGACGGTGATTCCGGGAGCCATTGAGACAATAACAGAGTGGGTCTGGCACAGGGTCTGCTGCCTGGGGTTGGACCCCTTGTGTAGGTGACCCCCTGCAGCTGCTGAGAGCCAGCCCCTCCCCAACTAACCTCACTGCTTCGCTCCTTGCTCCCCTGCCACGATCCTTAGAGAATACAGACTTTGTGGACAGTGACTACCTGCTGCCAGTCCACCCATGGCAGAATAAGGGTGCGGAGATGAGGAAGCGGAGGGCTCAGCTCCAAGAGGAGGAAAAGCCAGCTTGCCATTGAGGCAAAGGTGTCTCTCATCCCTCAGGGAAGCAGAAAGCGCCTCCTTGACCTTTAGTCCCTCATTTGTCAGTGGCATCAATCCAGCTTTTACGGCTGTTTGTCCAATTCCGTTCTTCAGACTCCTCTGGAGGGACCTGGCCTGCACAGAAGGCTTTCCCGTCTGTCCACTGTGAGTTAATTCGAGACGGTTAGGTGGGCTCTCTCCAGTGCTCTGCCACTGCTCACTGGCCTCATCTGAACCCATGTCACTCATGCGCAGGTGAATGACACCACAACACACGTGCATCCCTCAGACATGCTGGCCCCACAGGCCACGAATTATTTTATGAACGCTTATACTTTTACAGCTGTCTGATACTCTCAATTTTTACCAGCCTTTGTAGTGTGGCCTGGCACTGTCTGAAACTGCTCCCTGGAAATCACTCAAGAGCACGTTCCACCGTGCCAGGCGTGTCAACAATGCTGCTGCTGACTCCTCAGGGAAACATTTGTCCTATCGGTTATAGACCTAATGATTGCTACTATTTTCCCCCCCTTCTCAGTGTCCTCACAATTCAAAGTTCACCTTTTATAGCCAAACTGCAGGCTTGCTCCCTGCTGCCAGAAAACTGCCTGTTGGCAATACTTTGAGGATGGGACTCTCAAATATGCGGTCCACTTTGACTCTGTATTTCAGAAAATATGGGTAAAGCTGCCCCCCGCAGTTAGGTATGCCAATTACCTTACTGTCCAGGTAAGCTTTAGCTCATTCACATGGATCACTCCTCAGAAAGGAGGAAATAAAGTCTTGGTGCCAATGAAATCAAGCTATAAGTCTGCTACACCCTAATAAGACGTGCCACTTGAACGTGTTAAATCTTGCTGTGCAAGGCTTCTGTCTAATCGTTTGCTTGAACAGGAATATTTGACATGCATGTTGCTGATTTTCTCCCAAGGTGTTTCATAACTTGTGGGCCACCTCCTGGCGTCCGCACTAAAGCTGCCATGCACAGCAGGGATGCTTAGAAAGCTGCTACAAGTACTTTGCTACTTCATAAAGTCTTCAGAATTGCCAAATCTCCCCCAGACATGAGAGGCTGGAATGTCTCAGGTATAATTCAGTAGCAGAAATGGATATTTATCTTGCATTAACAGGAAATTTATGTAAAAGCTTTCAAGTGAAACCCCTGTTATTGTGAAGATCTTTTACATCTACAGCAAACTGACCAAACTAGTTTGGAAGTTCATTCATCAAAGCTACAAAACAGAGTGTTCTCAGGCCAGTGTATCTACCCCAGCAGAGAGCCTGAGCGGAATCCTGAACACTGCCTGCACCACCAGTTTCCCCAGTAAGGAAACAGTGAATCCCATAATTGGGCTGGATATGCTCTGGAATGTTTGGATCTTCCAGCCTGAAAGAGAGATTTTTAAGGTCATCTCCTCCAGCCTTCCCCACACGGCTGCTCTGCCCTGCTGCCCACACCCCGGTGCAGGTGAGCACTTCTCCACCAACCACGCTGAGAGAGCATGGGTGACGTCTCCCCTGTTGCTCCCCTGACAGCACATCTCAGCAGTCACTCTGGCTGCTATTGGGTGGGGATGACCCCTTAGATCCGGGTCTCAGACAAGTCTAAGCCGTGGACTTTGGTCTCCCAGCCCTCTGAAGACACCCAAGACCCTTCTGAGGTTGCTTCCCAGCTCAGGTACAACACAGGAAGATCAAACAAGAGAAAGCTCGTGCATTTTATGCTTGTATGGAAGGAGGTAGAAAGAACAAAGAGGCCAGCACCTCTCAAGGAAATATTTTACCTGTGTTATTTTGAGTTTATATTTACACCTGAATGATTTTGTGATTTCTTTCTTTTTGTAAATGGGATTTTCACATCAGAAACTGCAAAATTTATATGCTGTGCATACTTCAGGAACAGAGAGTCACTTGCCAATACTGTCCCAAATCCTCTTGTTCAACATCTGTGGACTTTGGTGGCATCCTGTGAAATCTCAAGAAAGTACAGAAAAATGGCAACTGACTGCTTTTTGCTCTCCATATTGCTCCCAGCACTTAAATGGTAAAATCCTTCCTCATGATAGAAGCCTTTGGAGATACAAGACTCACCAGACGCACAAAGCAGAGCCGAGGGATTGGTGCTAAAAGTTGTCATAACCCAGTGAGGGGCCCATCCCGTGTGGGAACCCGCACATCCCCAGCTGCATGCAGACTCTTTCCAGCTGGGGCATAGCGCACGGTGCTACGAAACCACCATGTGCTTTGTATGTTGGTTTTTATCAAGTCTAGTACTCGAAGCTGCTTACCAAGCCAGATGCTGCCCTCACTCTGCAAATGAGAAGTCCTGAGATACTTACTACATTGATAAAAGTAAAGATGGGGGAAAAAAGGTCTTCTGAAAAGACCATCAAGTACAGCTTCTGTTAAGATGATAATGTCCCTTTAGATACTCTACTCACTACACAATATGGGGCAATGCACGTATAATGTCTCAGTCTTTGTAAAATAGTCTCCTCTTGTCATTCAGACTCTCTCTCTGGTGGTTATCTTATCTATCTTAACTGATTGTGTTAAAATGCATCAGTTATTCCAAATATATTATAAAAGCAGGATGCCCTGCCTTTAGGATTCACTCAGGATATACAATGGAACACCACGGAGATACAAATGGATGGGTTGGTTTATAAAGGTACACTAACGACCGAGTTCCATTAAAGAACACAAGAGAAGTGTTTAATATTTAAAATACCAAACCAAGAAGGCAGTCTGTACTATTTTTTAACCTTTGTAAAGTTAAAGAGCAAATCTGAGTTATATTAAATATTTTCCTTTGACTGCTTTCCAGGCTGTTTATATGCAGAAGTTATTCTAGCCATTCAGTCTCTCCTTAAACAAGTGCAATTTTTTTTGCTTAAAAAATCCAAGGATCTAAGCTTTCTAACCGAAATAAATAAATAAGCTTTTCTTTACAGATAGCTATAAATTAACCCACCAGCTAGTGCACCAGGAATGTCCGTTAATCTCTGCTAACTCACCAGAAACACGCAGTTCCCAGCAGAG